TGAAAGCTCGTTGTATAAACTGTTAAGCTTCAAACACTTTTTTTTTCCTTTTGTTCTGTAGGCGCGCCATATAAAAAAGCGCTTCACGTGATAGTTATTCCGCTGAATAATGAAGAAAATGCCTCATAAGCAAACTCTCATGAAAGATGGCGGGATTCAAACGATACCCGAATAGTCAGTGAAAGCCGCCCGGGGTCCGGACCCTGCTCTCACCTGTCACCTGACCTGTTATCTGAGGGTTATATTCCCCGGGTATCGTTACAGACGAGGAGTTTGTGAAAAATAGTCACATAAAATGTTTAGTTATGTTAGGTTAGCTTAATTGATTAAGGAAAGCAACTCGAAGTCTATCCGCCTAGAGAGCGGATGCCTTCTTGAAAGATTTCATAAGACAAACTGGCTCGTATCCACAATGGAAAATCACACAAGGGGAAAGTCGCAAAAAAACGACTATGCAGCCAAGCCCGTTTGCCAGGGATTCAATACCACCTAAAAGAAAAACCAGGGAAAATTACGGTATAAGGAAGGATTTTCTATCTTATTTGTTTGAACTTCAACATCAGTTCAGCTGTTGTAAGGATTTTAAAAATAAGTAACAGATTTGCAATCGAAGCCGTAATATAGGAACCTAGTTAATTACGAAATAAAACTGTGTATGAATCAACACCACTTCTGCTCATCTCCATTATATCATCTGATGTATGATTGCAAAGCGATTTTTCTTATTCGGAAAATTCATTTGAACGTTGGTCGTTTGAGTAAAGATCGTGTTATACCTCGTGTAAGAAACTCCGATCAGCCCGTGTCCGAATTCGAGCGTGAACTATCGGGACTGCAGTTTTTTTGTTCCTCGTCATTTCTGATGGTGTTGGTCAGGATCCTATGACTGCCAGGCGAATATAGAATCAATTGGTACAAAAAAGCAATATTGAATGCAGTGCAGAATCTTACTGACCCGAGCCATTCGTACCCTGAGTGAGGAGCTTGGCCTGTGTGCAGGATCCACACAGATAGTGCGACGACGTGTGCAGAAGCATGGTTTATCTGTACAACGACCATTGTTGCGGCTCCACTTGACACATCAGCAGGGACAGGCATTCCTACAGTGGTGCAACAAACGTTGACACTTGACAAAAAAATGACACTACTCCATCTCTGCGCATAACATCATGAGGACGTAGCTGTGTCCGAATACACCGAGCAGAATGGACTTCTTCCACGATATAGACGGTTTTCGAGTGCTGCTCTGGCACGTTCTTCCGATCTCTGCCTCATTGAGAATATCTGGTCATAGGCTGCCAAGAGCTTTGCACGAAGCCACTCAACAGCCACTACAATTGATGAATTCTGGCATAGAAGGAAAACCGCATGTAACGAAGTTACGTGTATCGTCATCCAAGCTCAATGCGACTCCATGCTCTGCCGGATTCCAGCCGTTGTTGCTTTCAGAGGTGGCAGCTGTATGTACTGAATTCTGCACACTGTTTACCTTCAGACTGAATCATTTTTTCCTTCTATTATATTCTATATCTACAATAAATAAGATTCTACAATTTGCTTTCCTTCCTGGCATTGCAATTTAAATGGCCAGCAGCTGTATAAGCATTCGACTAAACAACAAAAAAGTTCTATTATCACTTGGATAGATTCATCTGAGTATGAACAGTATAGATGTTTTAAATCCATAAAAAGTGGAATTTTTTATATAACTATCTTATCTTCAAAATAATATAGTTTTTATAAAGCATTATTTTCTAAAATGGGACCAAATGCTCACAATACACCATTTCAAAAAGAATGCAATGATTTTGCTTGTTATTGAGAGAAGACATTGATACAAAAGACTGTCTAACTAAGAGGGAGAGCAACAAACCAGAGATTTATTAATGGATATGACGTCCCTTACTAACTGCACTGGTTGAGACGCACAGTCTGTCGATAGTAAACACCAGATTATCTAACAGTTCTTGGGGTAAGAGTTTCCATTCTTCAAGGACCATCTGTTTCAGTTGTCTGGTGTTCTCCAGAGGGTAAGATAGTGTGCCGCTAGGTGTCACACCAAAGTTCCCCACACATGTTCAATGTGATTTCAATCAGAGGAGGACGCTGGCCATTCTGTTGATATCTTCTCTTTTCAGGAGCTCCTCCACAACATTGTGTGGCCATGCAATGCCATCCATAAAAACAAATTCGGGACGAGTGGCATCACGGAAAAGACGCATGTGAAGGAGAATAACTTCATAACAGTAAGGATCTTCGATAAGGGAACCTCTGTGGAAAATGTGGAGCTCTGTCCCTCCGCTCATCATAATACCTCTGCATACAAGCACCTCAGGACTACTCCATGGTCTTTTCCCCTGATGTTAATGGGATGAAAGCGTGCACCTACCTCTCTCCATGTCAAATGGCGCCTAGAATCATTTGTCAGACTAAATTAACTCTCATCGTTTAAGAGGACGTGTTCCATTGAGGTGTCCAGTCTTTGTGTTTTCTACACCACTGTAAAGCGTACTGCGGGTGGATTGCTTTTATCGGTATGCAGTGTTCAGGATGACAGGCGAATACACCATCTTCATGAAGTCGTCTGGCCATAATAAACCACGATATCTATCTTCCAGTTGCCTTGCGCAACTATTAAGCAATGTTACCCGCTGCCTGCTTTCAATCCCTTTTCGCTTGTAGGATGTTATATCGGTCATCAGAAACCTTGCTTTTATTCACCGACTCCCACCAACCTTTCCCTATACTGTCGTCTGGAAGACTTTAGAAGCTCGTGAAGCAACACTTTTATCTCTTTCAAACGTTTGAGCTACAGACATCAAACTACGCCCTTCCTCAAGCCTGCCAATCATTATATCACGTTGTAAAGACGCCCTGGTGTTTTCTTGAGCCACACTGCACGTATAGTCTCTTTCACTTGCAGAAGAATGCCTGGAAATGGGACTTCCTTTCTTTGTAAGTTACCGTGCGCTGCACGTCCTGACTCTTCACATTTGTGCGCCCTGCCGTAACCTTTGACATCATAATGCAGATATTGCATATGCATCACATTTCTAATGAGTTGGCTTTTTATTGTACTGATTGCAAAAAAGCCCTTTTCTGCAGTTGCGTAGTTGTATGTTGGAAAAAATTTTGTTGCTTGAATTTCATACACTTGCGTGTAATAAATATGTCTAAATATGTAATGTAAACAGAATACGAGAAGTTTATCCCAAAACAGAATTGAATGATTGGAATATTAGTTTTGGGGAAATTCATTTTTATCTCTCTCCTCATATCTGTTATATTATCGGAATATCAACATTTTCAGATGATGTTACGAAATTATAAACTTTCTTATCAAATGTCTCGAGATTACTAAAAGCAAAGCTTTTCAGCTTCTGCAAACTAAGATTGCAGTTTTTTTCTTTATAAAATAGCTTTTTACTTGAATATTTCTTTCCATCACGGGTTTTTCCATTAGTTTTTTTCAGCATGTATTAATTTAAGAAACTTCTGATTTACAGGAAAAATGTAAAATGCATGCCTAAATTAGAAAATATAAAAATGAATTGACTTGAAATTGGCAAGTCCTTTGAAATGCACTATCTAATAATATTAATGTGTGCTTTTAATGTGCTGTGCTTATCATTTAAATCAACTCTTCAAAAATACTATACACAGTGTATTTGTCCCCTCTTGTTTTTCAAGCAGAAAAATTAATATCGGTATAATATATATTTTTTAAACAAGGAAAAGGAATAAATACACTTAGTTATTTAGTCAAAGAATTATATGCAAAATTTAAAAACTCTGAAAGTAGTAAAAGGTTAAGCCTTAATTTCAATAGAGGACAATTTTGATATATCTTATTTGATATCAATATTAATTCTTATCCTCTGCAATGTATGTTCAAATGTTAATGTTGTAAAGTATTTTCTCCTTGCTTTCCGCGTGCCTTCCTGGTGTAACTGGAAACACGCTCGACTCGTATTCCGGACGTCTGGAGATCGAATCCCGGCGAGAGCATTGCGGATTTCTTTGATTTCTTGACTTTGAAAAATTCCAAATGGCGCTACAAGTTGAGCCCGTTCTAAAAGATAATGAACGATAATTCGTCACCACCAGGATCTGGTGATCGGGTCCTTAATCCTCAACTTTGGTTATAGTGTACAAGTTCCCTAGATCAACGGAATGCATGCGTAAATGAATAAACCAGACTTGGCTTTACCCCTGTAAAGATTACCTTTTGGATATACACAGACCAAGTTAGACCATTTCCATTTGCCGTTGCTGTGCCATTTGGGCAAACCGTTTCCATTTGGCATTGCTGTGCCATTTGGCGAGACCGTTTCCATTTGGCGTTGCTGTGCTGTCTCGAAGCTTTACTTCTCCTTACAGATTCTTTGTTGGAAGCACGCTCAACTCGTTTTCGGGAGGTCCTGAGTTCGAATCCCGACGGGGTCGGGTTCCTTTGATTTTCTGACTTCAAAAAAATTCTAAAAGACATATACAATGTAATTATCGTATTTTGATTTAATGCATTTAGAAAAACGGTTTCGCGAACTGTTACTTTAAAATTTTTGAAAACTTAAGCATGTATTCAATTTTGTATACTTTTATTTTAATATGATGTATTAGCGGTAGTTCCTTTTCTAATTCTAGTTCTTCTGTATTTCACAATTCCGTTTCATGTTTGTGATTTCGGTTGAGTATTGTAATTGATACTTTACTTTTAATGCGGTGCTTCAACAAACTTTACCTTTGTTAAATCCTGTTATTGGACATTTACACTACAAAATTTCCAATAACGGATTTATTTCTCATAGAAGTTACTTTTCCTCTGACTTCTTCTGGTAGGATCAAACAGTTTTCCTTAAAATTTGATTTAAAAATTAAACTAGGCATATTTGAATTCTTACTGCGCTTGAGATAAGTGCAAAACATTTTGTAGCGAAAAAATTGCAGAGATGTTTTATAGCATGTTTTTTGATTTATCTAAATAATTGTATTTTTTACAGGTATATACACCGACAGATTTCGAAAGGTGTTCTGTTGATCATATAGTCGGCGACTATCAAGTGCAGCTTGCGCTCTGGGATACATCAGGTATGACATTTTACTTTTTTACTAATTTTCTAATCTTTACCTTTTTACACTGTTTGACAATAATATGCTTGCAGAAATCAGCTATAGAGGGGAAAATTGATTAATGAAAATATGAGGAAAAAATTCATTAAGAATTACAGTATTCAAACTTCCAGCGCATAAATTTTCTGCCAAATAGTTCAGTTATAACAAGTCTTGGTATTATTCCCTTTTAAGGACCGTAAAAAATCTCCAAACTACTGTTGATGCCAGTGCTGCCAAAAATAATTGCGGCAACCCTAACGCAAGAAAGAAGTATAATATTAAATAACTATCTAAATATTATTGTTTTAATTTAGATGAAAGGTTAATTTCATATAATACTTTTTTATTATTATAATTTATATAAAAAAGGCTAAACATAACTGAATGGATTCCTGCATCGCTATTTCGCTACCGAGTTATCGCTGAAGCATAATTTCATCTCGTTGGTCGTTTAAACATAATTTTCTATAATGAATGATGCCTTTTCTTAGAAAAAATTCTATTGCAGACTTTTCGTCATGGGCAATTTCCAAATTGTTAAATCCATAGGATATCAAAAAGGATTTAAAATTTAAAAAAAAAAAAAAAAAAAAAAAAAAAAAAAAAAAAAAAAGGATTTAAAAATTAAACTAGTATGTCAGTGGCGTCTTAAGAAATATAGAACTATCTAAACTTACGCAATTTAAAATCAGCGCTTACGTTAGATTTGGCGCGCTGTTCAATGGGTACGTTTTGCTAGATTTGGCGCTTTTACACATACATTTTCGCTGCAGTTCTTTTACGGTCTTCAAAACGGAGTAGTACCCAAGTCTTAGAGACTAGTATTTCCCTTAGCTATACTTTCATGATTTACTTTCTAAGAAGAATCAAGCGCATTCCACATGGAAAATTTTCCCATCTGTGGCTGAGTGGAGGAGACAGCTGAATATTAAGATTTAAGTTAAAATCTTGGCGAATCGGCTGGTTGTGTGGGAATTTTTGTGGTTTTCCAAATGGGTAACATGAATATGAGCACATTCCTGTTCAAAAATCCTCCTTGAAAGAATCTAATGTCGATAGTTCCTTTCGCTTTGCCATAGTCAAATAATCCATGATTCATTCCTTCGTAGCCAGAACTAGTAGATGTCAGGCATTAGAATAAGCAGTGTTAATTAATATCATGCATTGCTCTACTGAATTGATCGACGAATGATAGCTAAAGAGAATCCAAGTATTACTGTTTGCTAACAGCCAAATGCTAATTTTTTTTTTTTTTTTTTTTTTTTTTTTTTTTTAATTTTGCGTAATTGGGTTGTATGGCGACGTATCGATTCGTAGAGATTTTGAAGTCGCGGAGGAGGAAATCCATATGGGCTGAGTCAATCAGTAAATACTTAGTATGTTTTTTTCAAATACAGATGTGCAGTGAAAAATTTCAGATGGTTTAGTTTTCAATTCAGCTAAGGATTAAAATAAGGATTGTTCTGTGGAATATGGTAAAACACACAAGGTCTATCTAAGAGAAAGGTTGTGTTTGTGAAGGAGTTTTAATGGGAAACCGGGTCACATTCTTTTTAAACACCAGCGAAAAACTCATTTGGCACAGCCTGTTTGCTAAGAATTCGAATATGGAAGGAATTAATAAACGACCTTATCCACTTGGACAGTGATGGGCTTTCAAAAGAATTAAAAGTCACCTGTTTTTATATTTATCTGTTAAGATTACATGTAATATTAATTTCACTTTAATCTTTTACATGAAATAGGTTTAGAATTCCCCCCCCCCCGAAAAAAAAAGAAAAGAAACTGTCGGTTGGCAAAATGGGCTTTTGAGTTCTACCGAACGAGATCTGCCTGCAAGTAAAAAGATTGTTTCTACTTGCAGGCAAATAAACTTTAAAAAAGTAATGATAACTGCTTAGGAATATTCGGTATGCCTGTTTACATTTGTCCAAACATGCAGGATAAACGACAAAACTGTTTATCATTTCGCTGATTGTCAGTCACTGTTTAATATGTAGTTATATTTCCTCTTATGTACTGAATTTTTTGTAATGAATCCTGGATACTGATCCTCAAATAAAAAGTGTCAAGCACTGGAAAATACCTTCAACACCAAAAGTTGCTGATTACCTACGAGGAATATTGTTTTCAAAAATATATATTGGAGAGTACGAAATTACGAAGTAAAATTTATCAAAAGCTTGATGTGGTTCTCGATTCATACTCTTCTAAAATTTCAGCACGAATTGCGTTCAGCTCTGAAGGTGTGTTTCTTTTGAAATGCAATCTTAGATCTGCTTATCTATTTTCTCAAATAATGCAGCATCCTGTGCAGAGTGTAAACATATCTATTTTACGCAGGCAAGCGTCCCTTATCCCCTTCCTTAAACAGAGCCCTGTCGCTGAACTCTGGTAGTTCGACCTGGTTTCGATTCCAGGTGAACGGTCAGTTGCATAGCAGTTTTCGTGTTTTTCTCCATTTCTCCATTGGATAAAAGCCAGTTTCCCTTAGAAAGCCCTCTACGTGAGCATCCCTCCCTTTAGGTAGATAACTCTAATATGCATTGTCATAATTAATAAACTAGATCAAATCCCTTCCTTAGAGTGGACTTTAATCTGTGGATGAATTTCGGTTGTTCCTTTTCGAAGTGACACCAGCTGATATAGTTTACATACCGAGATATTTTTTTAAAATACTTTAATTTGCTTTTTTATGCCATTTGAGCTGAGAACCTAAAGAGATCAAGTGAACAATGATAGTTCTATCCCGGTTCGAAACCCTACAAACGGGCTCTCTACGTACGTGGCTTTTCCAGTGTGTAACATGGATATGAGCGAGTTTTCCTTAAAAGATCCTCCACGAAGGGAACCCCTTCCCATAGGCAGGTAACCCTAGAGTAGCTTTGCTTAATCTATTAACCTAATCAATTGAATTTAAACTATAAAATTCAACTCAACCGCAATATCTTAAATAATTTTAAAAGAGTACATCTTTAGAATTTCCAATACGCAGTCTCGCGCACTGGAGATAATTTTTTTTCCCCGTACAGTGTTGCCATTCCTCGCTTTGAAATGGTTGAACTTCTTAATCAAAAATTCATAAATGCTTTACAAAATATGAAATCGATAATAAAACAAATTCCAAATTCGAGCTTTCAGATGCCCATATTCGGGTGGAGATGTACGTTATTCAGAATTTGATGTCTCTAAGTACCATTGTTTTATTACAATGCAAGACATGCATACATTTATGCAGATTCTTCATTATTTAATTTCTTTAAATATAACACAGGGCAATAATATTTGGTGACAACAATTTGAAAAGTGAAACGGATATTTAAAGCTTTCGATGCAAAATGCCAACACTAAATTAATAGCCCTTTGGGATAATTATAGAATAAAAAATTTTAAAAAGTTGAAAAATTATGATTAAATGATAAATTAAACTCACTTTTAACATGGGAGAATAAATATTAATTAATTACGTTATTCAAAATTGGATGTCTTTAGGTGCCGTTGTTTTATATCACATACATACATTTATGCAGATGCATCATTTGTTTAATTTATTTAAATATAATACAGGGCGATAATATTTGGTAACAACAATTTGAAAAGTGAAACGTCATAAAACGCCAAAACGAAATTAATAGCCCCTCTGGGCTAACGGTCTTTGGGCTAAAAATAAAAACAAAAGAAAGCAAAACATTCAAATGAACTTCGTATACCACGCTGTAGCTGAAAAATCTCAGAGTTAGAAATCTTACACATCGCGATCGTCTTATCACTCTCTCTTCCAAAACTGCTATTTTATGAAATGTATTACTGAGCACCCTACCTACAGACTTCCCATTCTAGTCTTAGTAATATATAAGGGACATAAAACATTATGACTGGTGCTGCTTACAAGCAAACATCCAAGCATAGAGCAGCTATGCAAGAATCGGCAGACTCACCCATCTCTAATGTGAGTACCAATATTTAACTTTCAGTTAATAAGACAGTTTATTTAATTAGATTATCCAAACTATAGTTGAATTATTAGAAACGAATACAAATTTTCTTCTATGAACTTATTTAATATATGAACTTATTTAATAAAATGATTTTTAATGGGTTGAATTTGAAAAGTATAAGTACAGTCTGTCTATCATAAGAAAACCTCTCGCCAGTTAGTCTACATCTGTCTGTTGCCGTAGAAACAAGCCTTGACCCATTTTCCGTAGGGGTGCTTTGAAGACGAATAGCTCTTTTCCCCTCAGCCAACAGTCACCAAACACAAAATAACAATAAAGCAACCCTCGGCTCGCCCTTATTTGAAATATACTAGCCCTGTTGCTATAGCGACCGCCACCCGCCAGACACTGTGACGGGACCTGTTCTTCTCGTAGACAGACAGTATATTGGTCGTAACGTATGCTAAAAAATTGCTTTTGTAAGCAACAAGATGGCCCACAGAATATTATAATTTATAAAAGTGGTCTCCACTTGTTAAAAGTCTGAGAAACGGGGATAATTTATATAGGTGAGGATTATGAGATTTTCTGATGGGTGAAGGGACATTTGAAGTCAAAATTGGCCGAATTGATGATGTTTACATTGTTTTAAAGCTATGCTATGCATTTGCTATGTAGTAATTTATATATTATCTGAACTTTCTCGCTGTTCAAAAAACCGCATGAAATTTCAATCTACATATCATATTCTTTTAATTGTCATTTAAAATGTCTTAAATTTCTTGCCGATCATGTAGAATTCTTTCATGTGTAGGAGATGAAAGGTAATTCAAAATGCATATGTCACAGAATGACCAACGATAAGAATGAGCAAGTCTATGTAATTTACGTTATAAAACTTTTCCAAAATGATCAAACGTTATTTACTTTTTAAGCATCCGTCATTAAAAGTTTTTAAAATTCCTTTTCAGGTTAGTTAAAGAAAAGGAAATTTAAAACTCCTTGCTTCGTTAATTTTAAGTGCATTCTTCCGTTTGC